AATTTCTCCCATTGGTTTTTCAAGACAGGTTTATACCTTTTTTATGTTTGGAAATCATCTTTTCACCCAGCTGAGCAGGGGATATAATGTCTTTTAGTCACCAAGAGCTCTCATTTCACTGCTAAAATGTCACATAAGTTGCATATTCTGCCAACAGTAACCCCTACATCTGATTTGCAGTTGCTGCTCCACCAACGTTCTTGATTTTAATGTACCACCTACACAATTTCTGATGTACATTAGCTGTAATTTCTGCATACCATGGACCTCATTCTTATATCTGTTTCAACACTGTATGCCTCGGAAGACAAAGGTACTGTTTTCAGCTGATAAGAACTTGGCTGATTCTTCATTAAGGCAGAATATACAAGATGAAAGACGAAAGAAGCACCATCACAATCCATAAGTACCTTCTGCTCAGGAATAAAATAAATCTTTTGACCTGTTGAGTTTATTTCTATAGGACGACTCTCTCTTTGTTTTTCCCAAGCGGCTACCAGGCACTAGACAGAATTCAGTCCAGTAGCCTAGAGGCTAAATGACCTCATAACTCATTAGCAGTTCTCAGAGCCATCTGGAGCCCTTGAGGAGAGACGTGTGTAAAGGACTGATAATAAAGACAACAGAATAATTATTTCGCTGCCATGATTAAACCTTCAGATGGCAAGCAGCGTATTTACTGTGTAGATTGCTGAGGAGGGTGTTTTCTGAAGGGATGATAATGCTGTGATGGGACAACTGGTTTTCCTGTGCTGTTCATCCAGCCTGCTACACAGGTAAACTGCGTATCAGTCACTCACCTGTTGAATCACAAAATGGTGTGTTGAGAAAATGGCGGTCCAGCAGGAGAGCAGTCTGTGCACACGAAATGGGACGTACCATGTGCAGAGGACGGCGGTCGTTTCTCCAAGGCCTGCGCCGCCAACAACATACCGAGAGTCACATGTGGCCTTCTGCGTGTTCATTTTCTAAAGTGGTCATTAGATAATCTTGGAATTCCTTACACTTACCTGTTTGTTTTTCTTGTCATTTCCTGCAGGAAGAATTGCCCTGTGCTGCTCAGGATATGTCTTCGCTTTCAGAATATGCCTTGCGCATGAGCCGGCTGAGTGCCCGGCTGTTCGGTGAAGTCGCCAGGCCTACCGACTCCAAATCCATGAAAGTAGTGAAACTGTTTAGTGAGCAGCCGCTGGCCAAGAGGAAGGAGACCTATGACTGGTACCCAAATCACAACACGTACTTCGCGCTCATGGGGACCCTGCGTCATCTAGGTCTCTACAGGTGAGACAAAGCACAAAGAGGAACTTGAGAGTTTTTTTTAATGAGATCTATCCTGATAGTTCTGTGGTGCTTACAGTAGTGCTGGAGTAGTTCAAAAGGTAGTTCTGGGGTGAAGTGCTGCTTTCAAAATATCTGCAACCGGCAAACCAAAAACAGGAAGCATGGCACTTATTGGAAGATACATTTTAACTCTGTCTACCACGTGACTAACGTTGAAAAGACGCTGACCCTTGGAGAGAGATTTACTTGTTTCTCAGTCTAAGAGCCCGCTGCTGAGGGAGAAAGCGGCAGAAAGGCCAGGGCTGCCTGTGAGGATGGCGTGGACCGCAGGCTCTTGGTCGCCAGGTGACCAGTCTCTGCCCCACCGCTGCAGTGTGGGAGCCTCCTTGTTCTGGTGACAGTCCCACTGGCAGGCTTGCTTCCTCTTACCTTGTTCTGGCTTTTCTACTTTATGCCCTTTCTGATAGGTTCATGTAGTCTAAATGGCTGTGGTTGGCCTTGGAGACGTGTCAGAAATAGCACTGAATGGCACAGGCTCTTATCACAGGCTCCGTGTGCTCGTGTGTGCACAGGAAGTGGGCGTTCAGGGCCAGGCACTTCTCTGGAAAGAGACAAGAGCAGATCCTGGGCCATCTCCTTCACCTTTTTAATTACCAAACTAATGCATATCCATTATAAAAGAATTCAAACTGCGGAATTATATATAGTTAAAATAGCTACCCTTTTTTTTTTTTTTTTTTTTTAAGTTTTTGGTTTGTTCCTGGATTTCAGTAGAAAGAAAAATAAATGCGATTTAATTCAACTTGTCTTCAGGCAGTAATACAAAAATTAATTTGGGACTGTTCGTTCTAATATGACAAAGTTAATGGTGTAGCATGATGCTTACTCTAGGTAGCTAAAGGTGGTGCATTCGTTCATCCAGCAGGTGTGTTTTAAGTACCTGCCCTGCACAGGCACTAAGATGGGCACCAGAGGGGCAGCAGTGAGCTAAGAAACTAAGCTTTTCACAGTAATGAATCATTAGAGGTGATAATCCACGGCATAGTTGACATTTCTAGAATTGCTTCGGGTCTGTCTTCTCTTGCCATTAGTCTGGTCTCAGAAGCTAAAAACTAATTTTATTATGACCCGAAATAAAGTACCCTTAAAAGGCAGGTCTCCTGAGTAGAAATGATAACCCACACAGAATCACAGTCAGCTGTTTTAATTTGTCTGTATTGCTGCCACTCTCCATTTGTTTGCAGAATAAAGACATGACTCTCTTTGGGGACAGGAAAAGATTACCCAGCATTTAGCTCTCCGTGGAAAAGCGACATTATCTTCCTGCAGTTAGTCACTCGCAGTGCCTCTAGTGCTGGGCCGCCTGGGGCATCAGACAGGCCGAATGGAGACAGCCGTCAACAAAGAGCATAGTGTGCCAAGCCTGCAAAGGCGTGAGGGACCGCAGGTTCTGAAAAACCATTGGTCTGTCCATTCAGCCAGGTGCTTGGGACGTATCACCCACAGGGACAAAGACCACTGCTTCTGTGGGGCTTGCTTTCTAGAGGCGGAAGGACGAGGAGCCAGGGTGAGGAGAGGGGGATTAAACATAATAAATCAGTCAGTCGTGTGGCATGTTACAAAGTGGTGCGTGCTGTGGAACGAACAGTGGAGCTGGCTGGGCGGCACCCAGGGTGCTGATGGGCAGAGTGGTATGTAGGGCAGTTGGGGTAAGCCTCGTGGAGAAGGGGAGTGGAGGGGAGAGTTAGCCAAGTGGGTGTTTGGGCAAGAGCTTTCGAGGCAGAGCCGACAGCCCGAGCAAAGGCCTCGAGGTGGCAGTGTGCCTGGTATGTTCCAGAAGCAGAGCAGGCCACAGGGAGAGTGGTGGGACAGGAGGCAGCTGTGAAGGCCGTGTCGGCCACAGTAAGGACATGGCTTTTACTCGGGGTGCTCAGGGAGCTGTTTGCAGGGCTGTGAACAGAGGCATGATGCGATCTGACTTCTAGTTGGCGAACGTTACTCTGGCTGCTCTGCTGAGACTAGGTTGTCTTCTGGGGCATTTATAGCCAATCCCAGAGAGCCCTATTGTACAGACCATCGTTCATGGGATGAAGCATTGTACCCTAGAAAGCCACTGTTTCTCTCTCACATATAATTCATATGCCATTATTCTCTACATTTTACAGACAAGGAAACTAAGATGCAGAGAGGTAAGGTCGCTTATCCAAGGCCACACAGCCAGTGGAGGAGCTGGGATGGACCCAGCAAAGATGGGCTCCAGAGCCCACACTGTTCCTGAGGCATTTGATCTTGAGATGTAGACATCTTATACAGGCTCGGCCGTCAGCTCCACACTGTCCACATGTCCACGTACACACACGTATACGCACAGCTGCCTGTAGGAGCTGACTTTTGAGTTGGCACCCTTCTGCCTGAGCCCTTCCCCAACACCCGTCTGTGTGCATTACTCACTGCTGTTTATGGCCGCTTCCTGCACACTGCTCCATCGTCAGTAGGTGCCAATTCCCAGGCCCTCAGTGTCACTGTGCAGCCACTGCAGCTGAAGTACACTTTCTGTTTCTCGTGGTATTTAGTCCTCATGTTTTAGGGAAATCTGGGGTGATTATTAGTATTGTATCACAGTTAAATAGGCATGCAGCGGCTGGCCTGGGCATCTCCAGTGAGGGGAAGCTGGCTTATAAATGAACTTGGAACACCATCCATCTTATGTTGGGGACTCCCTGTTCTTTCAAATGTTCACCAAGCTAAGCGTGTGCCCATAACAGTCAAGGACTGGTAACCGGACAAGCTAAGTATCAGCACTAGGTGGTGTCCTTTTCCAGCCTGGCAAAAACAGCTGGTTAATTGTTTTTTGTCCATTCAGAGATGAGCATCAGGATTTTAAGGACGAGCAGTTGCGTCTAAAGAAGCTCCGTGGAAAGGGGAAACCGAGGAAAGGAGAAGGGAAACGAGCAGCGAAGAAGAAATAGTGCTGGTCCATCAGAAGAGAGCATTTCTTCCTCAGTGACTGAGAGCAGAAGTGTATTTACTGTTTATCCACACATGGTAGGCTTCTGATCTACCTACATTTGAAGGTCATTTGAAGGAACACCGCCAGCTTGGTGTTGATGTCTAATCCAGTTAAATCATGACTGGTTTCTTGAACACATTGTAATTCTGCAAAATTATTTTGGCCTTGGTTTTATAATCTGAGGTTTACCTAATTCTGTAAAGAAATGAACATGTAAATTATTGTTTAATGGTTGTTTGGGTGGGATGGGGTGCTGGGGGAGCGGGGTGGAAGACTCATTAAATGAGCATCCTGTGGTTCCTCATGACTCCTTCTTTTCCCCACCTAACCAGCCCTCAGCTCCTTTCATCTCTGGCCACTCTGCCACTGCCTCCAGCCACCAAGCTCACAAACTTCGTGTGCCTCTCCGCCTCCTCCTTTGAGAATGTCTCATAAGGTGGACTGGTGGGATAAAAGGCTGCACTGGGCAAGGGAGGGCCTGCTATATACGGGTTACTGCCGGGCCCTGGAGATCCCGCAGTCAGTAAGAGAATCAGCCCCTACCCTCATGGGACTTTCGGTCTCATGGGAGAAACCAACGTTACATTTATGTAAATATAATTGTAGGAAATGCTGCAAAGCAAAAGTCCAGACTTTGAGAGTGTGAGTGAGTGGGTGATGCGTGGGTGGGTGGACGGATGGACAGGTGGATGGATCTAGAGAGAGAACTGGAGGCCCAAACCTCATTGGGGAGTTTAAAGAAGGCTTCCCTAAAGAAACGAAGTTTCAGCTGAGCCCTGAAGGAGAAGTATGTGCTAGCCAGAGGAAAAATGGTGCTAAGAGAGTTCGAGACACAGAGAACACCGTTTGCAGCGCCCTGCAGAAAGAAGAAATTGTCATGTTGAAGGAATGGAAGAAAGACCAGCGTGATAGTGGCTGGCTGGTTGCAGGAAACCAGAGGCCAGGCCCTGAACTGGGCATGTTCTGTGAAAGAGCGGCCACCTCACTGGAGGCCAGTGGGGCGAGGCGTTACTTGTATGAAGATGACTGTTGTGTACTCAGGTAGCTGCCTGCCGATTTTAGTGTATTCTAGCAGTGAGTTTCCAGGGAGTTGTGAGGGCTTCTCAGGGTTTTTTTTTCTCCCCCCAACAAGAGTTGTTCTGAAGATCTCTAGCACTGTGCAGTAAAATAGTTAAAGTACTTCTTAGCTCCTCTCTCTACCCCTCTCAGGTAGGAGAGCAAAACGCGCAGGCCGTAGTACAGCAGCCATCCCGGCTGAGGGTTTTCCCTGCAACATTACAAGTGTTGGCGGTAATAATTCCCTGAACTAGTAAGAATCCCATTCCATCTGTTTGGGTAGGTAAAATTTTTAAAGATACATAATCCAGATATTATGGCTAGGGCCTGTATTAGAGCCTAAAGTTGGGTAGTTTGTATCTGATAGACATTCCAGCAGAAGGCTGAGAAGTCATTCTTTCAGAACCTTTACCAAGTACCTGCCATGTGCTGGCACCATGCTAGTTGTAGAGGAAACGGAGATGAATATGCCTTAGCCCCTGAGTCCTACTGTGTGCTTAGCCCCCGAGTCCTACTGTGTGTGTGTGTGTGTGTGTGTGTGTGTGTGTGTGTTACGGAGATGAATATGCCTTAGCCCCCGAGTCCTACAGGGGGTGTGTGTGTGTGTGACAGTACTGGCAAGATCTCAGGTCTCAAGTCTGCTGAGAAAAGGGCAGATGCACTGTTATTCTTGGGCAGCGCAGCTGAGCTAGGTGTGGGTCGAGGGTTACGCCAGGATGCTGGGCTGAGAAACAGGCTCTCAGCCTGATGTTTTAAAGAGGGTAACTGCACGAGATACCAACAGCAGGCCTGGGCCAGCAAACGGGTCAAGAATCTGTGTATCGGTTAGCTGATGCAGGGGCTCAAAAGAGACCCTTAGGCCCTGAGCCTACATGGGGCCTGGCCGTGGTTGGTGGGAGGTTTGTCACCAACCCAGCAGATGAGTGTGCCTCTGCTCCATGCTCCCAATCAGAAACCAAAGAGTGACTTGTACATACCCTGTACCCTGAGACTCAACTGTTGCAGTAAAGGTTGTATGACAGAACAGCCCACACTGAACGGTGACAGATGGGAGACAGAGGATGAGAAGGAAGTCACGTCTTGGCACCACACACACCACACATTTCAGGACACGGGTGACCAAGGGTTCAGGCAAGAGCCAGTTGTAATTAGAAAAAAAAATCACAAGTCCAGGTTTGGACTAGCTAGGTCATTGAATTGGATTTCTCAGGCCAAAACCAAAACTGTGCTTTTTCTCTAATGCGTGGTATGTGGTGTGTCTGGAGGACTCTGCCTTTGGGTTCAAGATGGTGTAACGAGAAGAGGCTGGGTTTGGGGTTCCAAAGTCACAGGTTTGTAACTTGGTTCTACTTACTGACTGTATGACCTTAAGTCAGTTATCTCTGAGCCTTTTCATTTGTAAAATCACGATGAATGAAATACGAAGGTATTTGTAAAAAGGGCTGTAAATTGTGAAAGATTAAATGTTTTTTAATAATTGACTAGTGAGAACTGATATGTTTCACTAGCAGATTTTTCCAGGCAGTGTTGACAGATACCTGCTAAATAAGATGAACGTTCTCTACATGTACATGCAATACGAGAAGTTTGGGGAAGGTTCCAGAAAGGGGAGGGGAGACACATTTTATTATTTATATAATTATGGGTTCCAGCAATTCATTCTTTAAAAGCATCATATCTGTGTCTCTATTTAATCTGTTTTATTCGGCCTAGATGTTGGGGCCTTAGCAAGTAAACTACCAATCTAGCTATCCTGCCTACTCTCGGCAGATCGCAATTCTGGAAGGAGGTTCTACTTCATGTGCTTCTTTATTCTCCTGTTCGTGAAGCTGCTTCCAAGAAAGAATCAAAATAAAAAATTCTGCCACACCCCTCCCCCTCCCCTCTTTTCTCACATTTTTCCCCCAAAGCCCCTAATGCCTACTTTTAGAGGGTGAGAAGCGTGAACAAACTTCAGGAGCAGTAGGTGGAGGAAGGAGTCTTTTCACCTGCCAGCCTCGTCTTCAGGGCCCGGTTCCTTAAGTACTCAAGTTCAAAAGAAAACATTTCCCTAAAATAAAAAAATAAAAAAAATTTTTTGGAAAAAGCGTTGAGACAGAATCCACAAAACACCGAGTAATGCACCCGAGAAGACTTAGGTAGGGGAGAAACAGTGAGGTCCTGGACGCGGGGATAGCTGGGAAGACAGTAGGACATGTTTCAACTGACGTAAAGTTAGCAGGATGGCTGGGGGGAAGGGAAGGGCATCAGCTAGTATGAGGACTGGCGCAAGAAACTACCCAACACAGTAGTCCCACCTACGTGGACATCTGACCATAGTACAGGTTCATATGAAAGTAGAAACTAGAGTTAAACCAATGTAGATTCTAAGGCCTTTTTCATTCTCCTTAATGAAGTGTATGTTTTCTGAGAGGAGAGAGGTTCATTTATGGAGAGCTTCCTATGTCCCTGGTGCAGGAAAGGGTCCAAGTCACTGATCGGTGCAGAATCATTTTCCCAAAGAGCCACGAAACTATTGACTGGCCCATGGCTCTAGAATAAAAACAGCATTCTAACAGAGATTGGAAGTCCTGGGGAGGACACAGGTGGTATCTAAAGCACTCCAGTCTGAGGGTACCAGTATGAGAACTGACTCATGCAGTAAATATATATATTTAATAAAGAAGTTGGAGATAGGAGAGTTCACTATGGCTTGCATAATCAGGAATGACCCCAAGCAGTGTGCGCAAGTAATACCTAACACTTTTTGGAGCATTTACCATGTGCCAGGCATCATGCTTTGTAGGCCTGATCTTACTTAACGCCCGTATGATGAGTATCCCCATTTTACAGATGAGGAAACTGAGGCTTACATTAAATAATTTGCTCAAAGTCACACAACTTTGCTTGTCTAGACCAAGTTTTAACCCTTTGGTGACCCAATTATTTTCTGCTTTGAATTTTTTGTTGATACCATGTATTTTTATTAATGGAAGCATGCTGAATCATTGAGTGTGTCTGAATTTTTGGTAGGTAGTGTGGATTATTTTTCTTGTCCCATCTCACAAACCTACCCTAAGTGTTGCGTGGTACATGGGAAGTACTACTAATTATATCCCAGAGTCCCCACCGGGGTCTATTGGTACATACGTGTAACAAACAAAAATTTTCAAAATTTCTGTTTTTCCAACCAAAAATTCAGACACCTCATATGATACCCTGTAAAAACAGTAAATTGTGGCACATGCCCGTTTCTCTGGTTTCAAAGAGTCATAAAGGCCCCTCCCTTGCAGCAGCTTCCCAGAAACCCCAGAGGCTGAAAGAGTTCATGGTCGCGATATGTACCGCTGGGCACGAAAGGGTTAAACCAAGCCACCCGACTCCAAAGCCTGGACCTTCAATCACCACATTGTAATAGGTAGGATTTTCACAAGCAGAAAGAAAGGGTTAAAGCAAATAGCATGAGCAAAGACCCACAAACGACAGTAAAACCTTTAGGTGGCCAGAGCTTATTGTAACGGGCATAGCTTGGCACCCTCCAAGCCATCACCTGAATGAACCCGTGTGGGGTCCTTGAGTCCAAGTGAACTTTCGTGACCTGATGATGCACCTCTCAATACTCTCCTCTGAGCCTGAGGAGTATTATAATAACAGCAACAACGCTGTTACTTAATTCCCACAACAGCCCTGTAAGTTAAATACCCCCATTTTGTACACAAATCTAGAGTTTTAGACCTGTGCTTCTCAACTTTAATGTGACTCACTAGAATCACCTGGGAGTTGAAAACAGACCTGTCCCTGGTCCAACTCCAGGTCAATCCAGTCAGAGTTGGGGCAGAAAGGGAGGAACAGCGTCAGCATTGGTAGCTCTGCAAAGCCCCCCCAGGTGGCTCCGCTGTGCCACCGAGGCTAATAATCATTGGTTGACGGCAGTGGTTCTCCAACACTACGATTCCTCGGTGCCATCTTGAGAGCTGGTTAAAACACAGATGGCTTGGCCCCACAGCCAGCGTTTCTTATCCAGTAGGCCTCCGGTGGGGCCCAAGACTTTGCATTTGTAATTAAGAGAAAATATTTAGGAACAATCTTTGTAACCAATCTAGGCTATTGATTGGATGTAAAAAGGAGGGCAAAGTCACAGCTATGTTAATTTATTCAGTCAACATTCAGCATTTATTATGCACCAACTCTGTGCCAGGAA